AGTCTCTTCCTCCAAGAGCCAGCTTAACAACCATAAGCACATTCTCCTGGATGTCCTTATCACTGATATTCAAAAACCTGAAGCCGTCATCATTTACAAAAACACTAAAACATGCAAAATTATTATTTCCCCACCAAACTCCTTCCACAAACTTCTGAAGCTTGGAAACACTTCCCAATTATAGCTCACACCAGTATGCTCCACTACTGAAGATCCCGAAACATCTAAAGTAATTGCTGCTTTCTTTGAAGTATACCAAAGAACCAGAATCTCCATACCAATAATTATTGTCAACATCTCTTACTTGAATCTCATGACAGCAAACTCTCTCAATGCCTTTTTCAACTTTCAAAATATATTTGAAATAACTGATGAAGATAGAACTGAATTAATGAAAGAGATTATGAAAAAACAACTAAACTACAAATTACACATGCCTTGGAACAGACTTGACATTCTCTTTTCAAGCACAGACAATACTTTTTCCTTGAAGCAAAAACCGAAACACCCAGACCCCCTCCAAACACTCCAGCTCCTAATAAGGTAATGAGCGACGACAATGAAATGCAGGATAATTGTTCAATTGAAACACCATATGCAGCTACCCCTGACCACAACGCAGATCAAATCAGCCCTTATGCAAGGTCAAGCATTATGCATAAATCTAATCAAATTAGCTCCCTTACATCTGTAACACCTAATAATAGCACAGAAATAGAAATTGATGAGCAAAATACACCAGCCTCTGTTCCTTCACAAATTGAGTCAGCTTCAGCCACAGTTACCGAATTCTGGGCAGATGAAGTTAACAACAGTGAAACTATTACTAGGTCCAATACACCATCAACAATTGAAAGAGATATTAGGAAAATCAATCCTCAAATGAATACTCCAAAATTTTTGAGCTTTGTAAAGAAGTCGACAAATGTAAGAGAAACATCGACGCCATCATTCAGTGGCTCCTTAAAATTAGGGAGGAAGGTCTTTCCGAAATGAAACTGACAATCAAAGCCATAATGATAAAAATTGGATATAGAGACCGTAGCTTTTTCAGGACCTTTGCCAAGAAAATCTCTCTAAAGAGTCAATATCAAATTGAATATGAGAAACTGGAAAAAGGTTTTTACAACAACTATATAAAAGTCAACAATATTGGTTATATCAATAGAACAACCCGGAAAAAAATAAAAATAATCATTAATAAAGCCTTATTTATTACCTTTCTAAAGTTAATAGACCTTGCCTCTTTTAAACATTGGCAAATAGCCCAACTTTTGGAATATGTCTTCAATTTCTTTATTGATCCCACATCTGAAAAATTGGATTACAAAACCCTGTTACTTAAATGTAAGGAGGTTATCAAAAGCAAACTTCCATTGTTATCCACCTTGCTTGATCTTATCCCGGCTTTAATCAAAATCAAGTTCCCACACGCTATTCCTATTACCTCCCCCAGAAATACAGCTGATGTGGCAAGCAGCCTCAGAGCCTATTATAACTTTGACCAGCTTCCTGCTTCATTTTTTGTTCAGAGACCGCCAATTCCTGATAACTCTAATGATCTCAAACCTGAAGTCAAAATGTTCTTTCCCTTAACCAAACGAAGTGATCTGAGAAATCTTGGAGAACTTACCAGCAAATTGAGAGACCACTATTTTGTTCTTGCTAAACTGCCAGATTCTTATTTCAATCTTCCTCCACCAAAATCAGCATTGTCACTATCGTATATGGACTTATTCTTTGAGCTCGCACACCATTTCCCAGTAGAAAACAATCTTAAAGCCATCCGCTCAGTAGTGGACCTTCTCAGATCCAATAATTTTGCTGTTAGGCGACTCCCAATGGATTATATTCAAGTTAAGCAACCACTTCCACCAGTCCACTGGTATAGCGAAAATAATTCTATCTCTTTATCAATTCAATCGCAGGAGGAAGTCAAAAATCTCATCCAGTCACTCAAGCAAAAGTTTTTCTTCAAGCTACCACTTGGAACAGAGTGGATCAATGAAAATTTAGTTCAGGATGAAAGATCCCAAATTCTAGATAGTGTGGAGGAACTTAAGAGTCAACTGAATATTACAGATAAACAGCTGTATAGAAACTCACCCACCATTTCACAAACACTCAAAAAAATTAAAGATACATATTAAGAAACAATTCCACAAGAATGGATCCTACCCGTCCTTTCAGAATTGTCTTCAATAGCTGAAGCCCAAGAGCAGTTAAATAAAATCAATATCAACATAACATTTCCATTAATTGATGACCAATATTTGGCACCTGCCATAAAGTTACTTAAGACTTATTTTTATTTCAACAAACTTCCATCAATCTTTATTATCGAAAAAGAGTCAACTAACCTAGGATTGATTCTTCTTCCATGCCTCTTTTAATTATGACAACATCAACTACATCCAACTTTTTACCTTTTTTTACATTATTCTCACAACTTAATTCCCCTTCAAATATAAAAAACATTCTTACAATTTCTACACTCAATATTCAAGATTTAAATCAAAAAGGAAAGCTCAATGAAATTATTAAATCTATCAAAAACAAAAGAGCAATTTTCTGTTGCACTGAGACCAAATTCATAACAAATAACCCACTACCTAACAGAATAAATAATAAGATAATCATCTCTAGCAAACTGAACACTGCAGCCAGCAATGGTGCCTGCATTATTTTGACCACAAAGGTGTCTTGCCATATATTCAATACTTATACTGAAAACGAATTCTGGTGCACTGTCCACCTCAAGTTTAAACCAAAGGTGGACATTATAATCATCTCAATATACTTGCCTCATGATAGAATAAACAGATCTGAGGCCATGCAATTCCTTAGAAAGTTCATTAATTTACACAAAAGCAAACACATAATAATCACTGGAGATTTTAATTCCTATCCAAAAGGATCACCCTCTATAAACACTCCATCTCCTTATCATAAACAGTGTATCTATAGATATTTTATAAACCTAATTAATATAGCTAAAGTTACCAACAAAGAACATCTTTACATATACATAACAAGTACCAGTGCCTCCAGGTTGGACCAAGTCTGGATATCAACAAACTTGACCAGTAAAATCCTCAGTTATAAAGTCCTTGATCAGACGATAATCCCTACTAATCATAAAATGATCACAATAGTTTTGGATTGGTTTGAATACAAGCCTAACCGTATCTCTTTCACAACTAAAACTTTTCAATTCAATAAAGCAACCAAAGAGCTAATCGAATCAATAAGGGAATCAATAGAACTCGCATGTACTGAAGCAAGTTCTCTATCTTGGGAGGAAATAAATTTAATAATCAAAAAAGCCATAACTGATAACATTTCAGCAAGGAAACAAACACCACCATCAGCACCTAGTAAAGCTTTTCACCCAATACGACACTAATATCAAAGCTACAAAAAGAGCATTAGCTGCATTACGTAAAAATATTGTGCCAAACAAGCTCCCCTGTATAGCAACCATTGTATACAACAACATCACTAATAATCCACCATTCCTTAAGTCTCTCAGAAAGGTAATAAAAATCCTTCTCAGGAAAAAAATGGAAAAGGCCAAGCAATTGGCCATGGATGAAATTCAAGATCGCATAGAAAAAAATTTCCTCAATTTTTGGAAGAAACCTAAAACAGCAATCAAAAAAACCCTAGGAGACCTCAAACACTCCTTGGATCTTTCTATTCTCTCTGATGGTGAACAGTTACAAGATGATCTTGACAAACTAATCGAGATAATTACCAGTCATTTTAAAAAAATTCTTGATTCCAAACCATTTGATTTGGATCCATTTTGGTCAAGTGAATATACACCCAGAAGTTCTCTTTCCAACAATGTCTTACAGGATACCATAGCAGAAATCACACTTGATGAAATCAACAAAACTCTTCTTTTTCTTTCCAAACAAAAATCTCCTGGCCTCAGATTAATTCCATATGAAGCTTGGATTAATCTGGGTACTGAAGCAAAAAAACATATCAAGAGATTATTTAACTCGGTTCTAAATTCTAGTACCCCTCCCATTCACTGGAAGCATTCTATTGTTACACTTTTACCTAAGAAAATAATTTGGTCACATGAGTTAATGAACACCTGTCCCATTTCTCTTATTGAAACCAGCAGAAAAATATTCACTAAAATAATCAATAATAGACTTTCAAATGTTATCTGCAAGCACAATATTCTGTCAAACAATTCATTCGCAGGACTTAAAACTCAAAGTATCATGGAACCCTTGGCTATTATATCTTCTGAATTAGAAACTGCCAATAATCTCAACAATAAGCATTGGTTTGACTCCTTTGACATTTTCAAAACCTTTGACTCTGTAAATCTCTCAAGCTGAAAACCACTTTGAAGTGAATAAAAATTCCTACACAAATAATATCACTGGTTCTCAACCTTTTGCACAACCGAAGTTTAAGTATATAACATACTACAAAGTTACAGATCCCATTATAGTTAACAATGGTATATATTAAGGTGAAACTCTGGCTCCTTTACTTTGGACAATTTTTTATGACCCTATGGTATCCAAAATCTCCAAAGATCTCTCAGGAAAGGCAAGAATCCTTACTTACATGGATGATGCTGCAATCACAAGTATCAGTTTTGACAGTCTGCAAAAGGCCACAGATATCTTTTGCTCTTTTCTAAAACTCAACCATATCAAGTGTAATAAAAAAAAAACAGACCTAATAACAAATCTTAAACCTTCAAACCCAAAATGGCTGAAAGCCCTTAAAGTTGAAGAGGAAAATATTCGTGCCAAGCCATATAACGAAGCCATCAAATATCTGGGTATTTTTTTTTTAGGAAAATCTTCTAATCAGGCAACCAGGAAAAAGCTTATTGAAAAGGTGATAAACTTTACCAATGTCATTGCAACCCAAAAAGCATGTAACGGAACAATTACAAAACAAGTTTCTTACTGAATAGTCCCAACACAATTCTTCATTCATTGTCATTGCACTAACTTCTTTTTCTACTACCACTTCTTCATTACTTGTCGTCGGTAATTCTTCTCTTACCATTACACCATCCTCTTCTGCTGGCAATTCTTCCATCACTTCTACGAACACGTCTTCATCATCATCGTCAGCTTCTTCTTGTTCATCCATCTGGGCTAAGTATGCTGTGGGACCTGGTTCCTTCAATTGTACTTTATCATTGGGATCAGAGTCACTATGCGATTCTCCAGTGTAGTATCCTTCCTTTTCTTTTACTTCTTCTTTTTCGTATACAATTTCATCAAATATCTTTTCTGCGTCGTCTTTATCAGTTGACTCGTTACTGTCAGGTTCAGTATTCGGCTTTCTCTTGGCTTTATCGTTACCATCATGTTCGATATTTGGTATCTTTTTTGCTTTATTATTCATGATGGGAATCTTGATTTTCTTTCCATCGTATCTGATCACAAGTTTTTGCTGGTCATAGTAAATTCTAGCTTTCACCCTTTCGAACCAGTTATTTCCCAATAGCAAC